CGGTTTTGGTAACGGTGCCTCTGTGGGAGGGTTGATGGACATCATCCCTACATCTATGGTTGAGGTGGAAGCGCTGGTGGCCAGGATGAGTGCATGGTTTGATGATAAAGTTGAGAGTAGGCTTTACAGTGTGGGAAAATATGCGCACTATGAAAATAGTTATCAGTGACATTAGGTATGTAGCAACTACATATGTTGGTGAAAATATGAAAATTTTCGAGGAAAATTTTGAAATTTCTTGTTGGTTTCGGAATACTCGTAGCTGAATTCGTGTGTAGAAGGAAGCTCAGCTGAAGGAAGCGACGATATATTCCTCTTACAGTGCCTGGCTAGGTATTGGTAAGCAGAGGACTGAGGGCAGTGTGCCTGAGGCTAAGGAGGTGGCGATTGATGGAGTGGTTCTTGGGAGGCAGCCTGGCAACGCGGTAGATGATATGACGAAGTTACGGTATGACGAGGGTGATTTATTTTAGCGCCAATTGGCTGATCTTATTGGTCCTCACTTGAAGATGGGAGTGGTTCTATCGGAGACGGGGAAGCTGTTTGCTATCGACCTTGCCACTTCGAAGATCCTATGGTCGAAAATGGCGAGCAGGGATTGCGTCATAGACAGGCATGGCAGAGGTCGTGGGTTCGATCCCCGGTATGTCCGTTTTCTTTTCAGAGTGAAGAATGGGCCGAAGATCTGGTTGCGAATTTCACACTCGAATGGGAAATACGATCTTATCGAGCCAACGACAGGTAGTAGGAGCGCGAGTTCGGCCTGTGTACCCGTTTCACTCTCTTTGGATTCTCCGATGTTACTGGATGATCGCAACGATGGGGTCTGGTCTGACTGACCAATGAGGAAGGCGGTCATCATCTGTGGTATACTGTCGCTAGGCTCGGCAGTCTAGCGGTAAATTTTTTTGGGGGCAGATTTGAAAATTTAGTAGTAGGACGTACCACATGAGGTAGATGTGGAGAGTAAGAGTCGTATGTCACTGACTTGCTATCATTGTATATCGCTATTATTACTCTGATATTGCCGTTACTCTCGCTGTATTCACTTCCGTATGCATTTTTTTCTTGTAGGAGACGTGGCTCAGTCGGGAGAGCTTGATGATAGTTCTAGGTGGGCATACGTATGCTCTCAATGGTACCAA